TTTGGATGCTGATTAATTTCTCTTAGAAAAACAATTTACAGTGGCTAATAAATCACATTACTGCTATTTTCAATCCCAAACAGAATACTTACTCAGTAGCTGTTCATCCCTTTGCTTCCTCCTGGGTTGTACGTAAGTAGCATTAAATGAATCTGTAATAAGCAATGAAGGCCTGCTCAACATTTCCAAGGAACATCCATTCAGATGGCTGTGGAAAAAAAAAAAGCAAAATATCACTTTTCGCATTTCTATTTTAAGAAAAAAAAAAAATATGTAACAGCAAGCTTCCAGATGTTTGCACGCACAGAAATCAAACTCTTCCAAGTTCTGAGCTGAATGTTTCCTGCTTCAAACTTACAAATAAATAAAACTGAGTGTAATGAAGATACCCAGAGCTAATGCTTGTTGCAACTTGATTAAACTGAATGCAAGTTAAATTAATTGTCTTATTAGAGCTGGAAAGGCACTGCTACTTCCATACCTGTTTATCACACACTAAATGATGTACACCTAACCCAGCGCCTAAGAAATATATATTGCTATGTTGAACTTACATCTCCCTCTTGTGGTTGAAATCAACTGCATAAACAATTTCTTCCTCTCCATCCTTGACAATCTTCCAAATTGTGCCTCCTATCATGTGGCCAGCTGGTAATGGTGTGATTGACAAACCATGTCCTTTGCCTACAAAAGTTTTCAATATTTTAGGTACATTACATGTATAAAAATCCATTACTCTGAATAAGAGATAGCAATTTTAAACAACTGAATGCCAAAATTATTACTGGGGGGGGGGCGGGGGGGGAAGGAGGGGGAAAGAATCAAATGAAGTATGAAAAATCAGTAATGTATCTGTCCCTCCCATCTAACCAGTAACTTCAAAATTTTTTTGCAATTCACTTCTGTTTTGCCTCCAGAAAAAGAAACTAAAGTGAAGATCACTTCTTCCCTCCACCTTCCACCGGTACTCAGTGGACACTGCAGAACTGTTGCAACTATAGTCCTAAACAACAGTAAATAATATAACAAACATATCACGTGAAAGCAAGTACACTGGTGAACAGCAGACCCCTCTCTGGGGCAACACAAAACGTTTACGATGTCATTCACTAAGTATTCACAAAAACATAAATTACACAAACCAGAAGATTTCCAGAATGACAAACACAGAAGCCAAACGATACCAGGAAAGGTGTTCATGTGCTGCACTTAGGGATGATGGATCTTTTCAGCATCTGATGCCCTTTTTTTTTTTAATGCACTGTTGCTCCTCATCATTGGTGCTAGCCTATATCTTTATCAAACTAGACCACCCATGATCCTTACTCACTGACTTTGCTGCATTCCACTAACTTGAACAGAAGTGCACAGCCTTAATAATAGTTAAAATGTACATTATCTTCTTAGATGCACCCATCAAGTCTTTTCAAATCACTTCCGTTAAATAAGAAAAAGTACAGTTTTAGAAAAGTTGTTCACTACAATTACTTTTAACACGTACAAGGCAGCACACACATAGCTTTAATACAAATATCTTGAAAAAGGGTCAGCAGCCTCTCAAGGACAGCATCTCATTTCTGTTTTCCAAATTACAGGGCAAGTATTTTGGCAAGAAGCATTCAGGAACTGCACCTCAGAGACAAGCTGCTGGTAGTTAGCTTGTATGTGTCTTTGTTCAAGAACAGAGTTTCTATTTAATTCTGACTTTTACATTCAACGAGTGAAAAGCTGCCGATTCTTCAGATGCCACAGTTCCTAGCAATAAGCTACACTGAAGTATCATTCAGTCAGTGAAGACCTCCTCATTAAATCATCCACGTGCTGTAACTTAATCTCTGCAACCTATTAATTCTCTAGAAAGCTTTCCTTTTCGTCACTGGCTACTGAAGAGTTCTATGGTATCTATCACCAGGTTTGAGTAAATGCTTTTTAGACACATGAGCGAATTCCAAGAAAAGTTACAAAAACACAAAAGAGAAACAAATGTCTAAATATGCTTTGGCATGACTTCCTCCTCTTTAAGTGGAAATTCTATCCATTTCCACATACAATTACCGAGGCAAATGTTCAGCTCATACAGACTGACACAAGGCTACTAAATTCAGCCCTGCAAAATGCACAACATTTCGAAACTTACTCCCTTTCAAATAACATACTTTAACCCTTAATGACTCTCTTGCCTTTCACTAAAAGTCATTTATTGAAATTTTGGGGACAATTTTACCTTTCAAGTTCACAATCTGAGAAAACTTCAGCTGTTGTATCTTATCAAAGGCTGCATCTACATCATCCAACGTAAAGAGTGTGAAGTCTTCAGTATTATGGCGGGACTAAAACAAATAAGAAGTATAGAGCATTCAAGAACCTGAGCACTCTCCCGTATCAGAGATGTTGTGTATGAAAGTATCGAATTTACCTGGTAGAGATCATACATAAACATCTGTCCCATTTTATATACAGGAATAGTCGCATAAATGGCACAATTCAACCCCATTTTTCCGACTGCATATGGAAGAGCACCAAGGTGTAGAGGGTCAGGATGAGAGAGAAGAACAGCATCAACCTGGTGTACATGTCTACAAAAAGAAGGACAACAGAAGTTGGTGAAAATAGTTTTGTATGGTGTTACATACTCCCTATTATGGCTATTTTGAGAATACCTACACAGTTTGAATGCCAAACAAGAAAACTTAAATCCTTCCAGGTTTACAATAAAATTCTTAAAATAATAATTTAAAGTTACAGGTATTTCCAAACGTTCAAGTATTCAAAGATGCAAGTGACATCTGAAAACATAATTTCAAGGCCTGAAAGACATAGGTTTCACATCAAAATCTGAATTAGAAAGAACTTAATATATACTTGGACACCCGAAAGTACATTAACTGAGGGCCCAAAACCAGAACCACTGCAGACATGCTACAAATTGCTTATATATCTAAAAACCTGAAACAGCCTATAACTTTTTTTCTGATGAGAAAGACCAAGTAACAGTACCAAAGAGATAATAATCCTTAAATCCTTAAAAGAGAAAAAGTCAAATGTACCATTTAAGAAAAGCAGCACATAACCTTTTGGTGTTTTACTAATTTTAAAAACAGAATATTTTTTTTTCTTGCAAAGTCTTGCATAAAATAAGAACTCATACTGAAAACCTACTACCTACCATAACTGAAAAACTGGAGGGCATAAAACACATGCAACAAGTGAAAATACAAGTTGGGCTGAAAGCTTTTTGTTCCCTCACATAGTAACTGAGGCACTCACATTCTTCTTGATAAGGCACTCGAAAGTTCTTATAAATTATCCTTAGAACATAATAATACTCAGTTAAAAGACTTCAAACGCAAGTGTGTCAATGCCAGAACAGTGAATCTATACAAATATCATCACAAAGCTTCGTTTCTTTCAGAAACTTGTAATCAATGCTTACATCAGCAAAGCGCCTTGCTGTAAACCTTCTGAAGTTCAGTATTTAAGTCTAGACAGTTTTATTTCTTTGCAGGCCTAGGAAAACTAAAAGAAGCTCCTTTCCTGACTGACAGTCTATTCAACTAGAAACAAGAGGTGAGAGTTGAACCACTATGTATCCAGCCTACATACACTGAGGATTCTTTCATTTAAAACTTAGTTAACCATTCTAAATCAGTTTAGAGCCAAGGTCAGTCTCCCATAAGCTCTGCGCTATGTCATGTTTATGAAAAAAACAAAACATCTAAGCCAAAACAAACACAGACCAGTTTGAGAATTACAGTTAATAGATGTAACTCATTAGACTCACAAGAAAAAAAACCAAGTTCTTACTAGGAATGTTTCAGCAGCATAATTCTTTTCATATAAAACATATTCCAAGCAAAAACAAAGAACAATTTTGAATTTAACACCTCCACACACATACCACTGCATGGTATTTTGAAAACTTTCAGGAAACGGCAAGGACTATTAAAAAAAACAATCCAAACCAAACAAACATACACCACCACCCCCAAACTGAACTACTTACTTCCTCAGAGAATCAATAATATCCATAGAAAAGTTTTCATCCCAGCCACAATCCAAAAGAAAACGAAATTCATCTACTTGCAACAGATAGCAAAGGGCAGACTCCTCCTGCACCCCTGAGAGCGTAGTCAATTTGATAATCGATGTCATTTTCCTCTCCAAGTGTTTAATCTCCAAAAGAACTAATCTGAATGAGGGAAGAAAATGTTTCATTGACTATTACAAAGGAAAACCCTATTTATTTAAATCTAGCTTGATACATTTCAGAGAATATGCAGGATAACAGTTGCGAAAACTGTTCAATACAGCTACTGCATATCAATTAAGTCTCAGATCTTAACATTTGATCGCTGTAGGTATTTTGCTATTAGAAAAAAGTGGGGGTTTTTTACAATTAAAAAATAAGACCAATGAAGCGCGTAGGAGCAGCGCCGCTAGGAGCAGCTCCCCGCGGGGGGCCGGATGGGGGCACCGGACATGGCGCGCCCGGGCTGCGGCCCCTCCAGGCCAGCGACTGCAGGAGCCGGGGCCCGGCGCCGGGCGGGATGGGGGCGGCAAACACCGGCTCCGGCGTCCCGCCAGGCCCCGCCGCCCAGACGGCGGCCGGGCCCGGCGTTATGAGGGCGAGCCCAGCGCCCGCTCCAGTCCCCAGAGAAGGGAGAAGAGAAGGAAGAGAAAAGCGAGCTCGGTCGAGGACAAACCGAGCGCTTCGCGCCTGAACACCGGGCCGAGCCCGGCTCCCCGCGGGGAGGAGAGGGACATTCGGCAGCGAGCGCCGCGGCGCTGCTCCCCGAGGAGCCGCCGGTACCTGCCCGCCCGCCCGCCGCCGGCCTCCCTCAAGCCCTCCGGGGCGCGCGCCCGCCGCCGCCGCCGCCGGGCCGCGCGGCGCCCTCCGCCATCTTGCGGGAGGCGGGGAGGAGGAGGGGAGGTGGAAGGGTAACAGACGACACCACCACGAGGCCGCCCCGGGGGGGGGAGTGTGTGTGTGTGTGTGTGTGCGGTGACGGCCCTGCTCCCCCCCCTCTCCCTGTGCACGCGGTGGGCTCTCCCGGCCTGCCCCGCGGCGCTCGGTGCCCTTGGTGCGGCCGCGGCGCGGGGCCCGGAGCGGCGCGGAGCGGTAACGGCCGGGGCCGCGCGGCGGGTACCGGTGTTGGCCTTCCCCGGGAGCGCCGCGTCCCCTACCCCTGCGGCCGGGACAGGGGGCCGGCCGGGAGCGCCCCTCAGAAGCGGGGGCTTTATGGCGCTCAGGGGCGTGCGGAGGACGCGAGGCGGGGGGGGGTGTCGCGGCCGGGGGCCCGGCGGGACGGGGCAGCGTTTCTCTGCGCCCGGTGGAACCGGGAGGCTGGCAGGGCCCTCCCGTGCCTCAGTACCGGGGGAGCCGGGCGCGATGGCGTCGCTTCTCCCTAATTAGGCCGTCGTTTTGAGCTCTTCACTTGGGATCTCTCGTAACCTCCAGCGAGACGTTAGTCTGGGAGGCGCTGGTTCGGTTGGAAAAGGCTCGCTGGGTTTTAGAAATGTCCTTTCTTCTGTCAGTTCCCCACTGGATGTACCACTTAACGTTTCAGTCCGGTTGCAGATACTAAAGCGTCCATCTACAGCGGTTTAGGTTATAAATCCATTTGTAATGTTTTGCAGAACAGCAAACTTACGGATCATCACAGTTACTTTAATGGGCAAATTACCCTAAATAGAACTATTTCACCAGGAATATCTTAGATGTTCTATTTCTCTTACATTTTAGGATAAAGTCCTATTTCTCAGGGCCAAGAGCGAGTGAGGATTAATGCAAAGAAACTTGTGTGTAGGTTTGAGAAAGTCATGTGTCTTGTCGGAAGTGTTTGATGGCCCTCACGTTTATTACACTGTTGTAGGATCCTAGTAAGCGAGATTAAAGGTGCCAGATATGCAACAGTTTACATGTACGTATTTATCAGTAACTCTTATCTGTTATGCTTTTCTTTCTAGCAGTCATGGTGAATTTTGCCCAAGCTGTGCGTGATCACTGGGTTCACATCCTCGTTCCCTTAGGATTTGTGATTGGATGCTATTTGGACAGAAAGAATGATGAAAAACTGTCTGCCTTCAGAAACAAGAGCTTACTATATAGAAGGTCTGCTTTACTATGCCTCTTTATATATAGTTATTTTGCAAAGTGCTTCTCTGTTCTGAGTCTTAAGGATGAAAAAAAAAAAAAAACAGTGATGTTGTCAAAATATTAAAGGAAAGAAAGCCCTTAAAATTTCAGCAGGCATTCGTGAACATTTTTAGGTCACGAATGCCCTCTGAAAATTGGGGCTTTAGGAGCCATCTTAGTCATGAAAGAAAGGATCATTTTCTGCTCTTAGTCATGAAATATAGAAACTATTATTTAATTTTCCTACAACTTTAGCAGGAAGCACAGTGTTTAAATTTTAATTTTCAACTTTTCAGTGGATTATAGCAAACTCCTGTCTTAAGTTTAGAATGATCACAGCACTTTATAACCAAATACTTTTATAAATGTGTGTCATTTAAAAATAATAACCCAGTTTTTGAAATTAAACACCACATTGGCAACTGCTGTATCTTCACTGAAGGATGTCGTTATATATACTGATCAGCTGAGCTTTCTGGCTGACTTCTCAGAATTTAGGTAACTTAATGCATTGCCCCATCTATGTCAGTTCTCGTAATTCAATATTAGACTATAAGGTTAACAAAATAACAGAAGAAAAATCATGCTGCATAGCGTGGATTAATAGTAAGAATGTTGTTATCAGTTTCCAGGTGGATTTTTTTTTTTCCACTCTGGTCTTGCCTAAATTAGCTCTGAGTTAGAAAGGAAGATTATGATATCATCCACCTGGCTGTTACATTAGCACTTTTCTTACTGCAGTTGCTGGTGAGGTTGAGGAGGTATTGAAGCATATTGCAAAAATCCCCTCTGCTTTCACACTTAGATCTCTTCCCACTAAAGTAATGAATTTTTATATTTAAAAGAAGTAGAATTTTTCCTTTTAGACTTAATTATGTAAAAAGTCTATTAACTCCTTAGAGATCAGCTGTTTTGTGCTTCCATTTAAATGAGTGGGAGTTAAAAGGACAAAAGCTTCGGAGAGAAAAGAGAAACTTACCAATATTGAAAGATTTTTTAACTGACAACAATTGCAAGGAAAGTTAATTTTATACATAACTCTCAAAATTAAGGTATTGTAGAATAATTAATTGTATTTATTAGTAATTATTCTACAAAAATTACTCTAATTTTAGTCTCTTTTTTTCTTACCACACAGAGAGTTGAAGCCTGGTGAAGAAGCCACATGGAAATAAAGGCTGCTGATAAAACGGAAAACATTTTTGTTAAATTCATCAAGTGTTGAAAGTTACGGTTTTTACCTTGAGAGAATATGTGAACCTACAGAAAATGACACCTGCCATTCTTAAGTGCTAGTTTAATTTCCAATCTTACTTTTTGGGAGATGATTTAATTACATGACTAAGATGTGTCCAGGAATTCCATTAATCCATAAGTGTTGAGAAACTTTTGTCCCCAGAAATCATACTCTGGAGGAGGGAGGAAGAATTATGTAATAAAGAAAAACTATGCAAAAATCATTTAAGTTGTTACTGATCTGTATGGTGTGGAATTCATGTGTTTATAGCTAATGTATGAACTAGCCTTCAGAGGAATACTTAACATAGACCAAAACGTGGGTGAACGGTTGTTGGGTTTTGGTTTTGTTTTTTTTTTTTTGTTTGTTTGTTTGTTTTGTTTTTTTCAAATGAAACAGTTTCTTAACAGATTTCCTCTGTAGATGTGCCCGGAGCAGCAGCAAGCGGAGTCCTGCAGCTTTGGGAGAGCCGGCGGGTGGCGGGGACGGACGGCCGGTGAGGAGGGGGAGGGGAAGGGAAGGAGGGAAGGGGCCGCGGCCGGTGCGGCGGCGTTCCCGGGGGAGGACCGGGGCCGCGCCCGGGTTCCCGCTAAACCCGCTGGAAGGGCGGGGGCGCCTCCGCCCCGCCAGGGGGCGCCGTCACGGCGGCCAGCCCAGCCCAGCGCGGAGGGGGGGCGTGGCCTGCGCGGATTGGCTACAGCGAGTCGGCGAGCGAGGGGAGGTTTGATTGGCAGGGGAGGTCACGTGAGGCGGAGGCTGCCGGCCGTTGACAATAAACATGGAGTCGATCTTTCACGAGCGGGTGAGTGCGGGGCCGGGTTCCGTCCCCCGCGGGAGGCCGGCCGGTGGAGCGGGGTACCGCGCCGTCTTCTGGCCGTCCGCGCCGGGAGCGCTTTCACTGAGGAGCTGGTCGGGGCAGCGGGCGGGTCTCCCGTCCCCGCGCTGGCGTCGAGGCAGCCCCAGGTTCCCCACGGGGAGCGCTTGGCCCGTGCCCCGCCTGGCCGGGCCTCGCCGCCCGCCCCCGGCATCTTTCCGCTGCCAGCACGGAGCGGCGCCTCTCCTTCCTCTCTCTCGGGGGGCTGGGGGCCTGGGGCTCGGCTTTGCGAGGCCTGTGGGCTCCGCGGGGAAAGGAAGCATTGTTCCCGGGGAGCGAAAAGGGTCAGGGCTGAGCCGCGGCGTTTGCTCTCGCACCGCGATTGCTCTGCTTGGCCCTTGAGGAGTAGAACTCGAGTGGGGGAAGGAGCAGGCTACAGCTGCGTGTGTAGCTCGAGAGAGAACTCGCGTAGCTGAGGAATGAGCACGAAGGTGAGCAGCGGCAGGCAGGGCTGTTTCTGTGCTCTCAAGCACATCTCTTCACCTAGCCTGATTTGGGTGGGGTTGTGTAACCAGCAGGGAAAGGGAGAGCTATTAAGGAAATCCGAATTCATGTGCTGTGCTTCTGTGTGCTGAACAGTGTTTCCTGTTTTGTAGGACAAATGTTTCAGTGAACTGCTATTAAAATGTAATAGTCTTTTTTCATGTACTTTGCCAATGTCTCTGCACTTTTATTAACACTCGTTTTTGCAGAGTTCTCATGTAATGGTTGGTTTACTTCACAAATAAACAAGATAGCTGTATAACTTTTTCAAAAAAAAAAAAAATATTACAGTTCTGAAATCCATAGAACCTGAGGAGCATTTTTTCGAACTAGGCTTCGGTTGTAAAACTTGGCAAGCATTGTGGTGTTAAACAGCTGCTGTTCAGAGGATGAGTGTTAGATTTCAACCATTATGATCTGTGCTACAGTGACCTTGAGTTACAGTCTAGATTGAAAAATGAGTTCAAAATAAACATACCTTTCTCTTATCTGGCCTAGCTTATCACATAACGAAATTATAACTTTTTTATGACTAAGTTGCTTTCTAGTTAAATAGCAAAACTTGACAGAAATTGAAGTGACAGAGCATAATACATGCAGAGTTATAAACAGATTGTAATTTGTAGTTACTACAGGAGTTGGGGAAAGGGGGTTACAGTCTTGGGTGCCTCATATGTGAACCATAACTGCTCCCTGGTAAGTTAGTTACACAATTAAAAAGTTATACCTGAATACTGGTTTTAAATTGGAGTACCAAATATTTTTTATCTTATTACTATTCTAGGGAAAGTGTAACTGAACCTCTGTCTTCTTTCTTATGGGGTCTTTTTTTTCCTCTCCATGGAGTTCCTGCCAAAATTTTTAAAGTGCTGCATGTGTACACCCCACACCCCCCTCCCCTTAAATCTGAACACTTCAGGTAGTTCAGTAAAAAGGCATTAAAAACATGGTATTTATAAAGGAAATTTAACAAAACAAATACCTAAACAATTTGGCATTTTTAACAGGAGAATGACAGTTGCAGGAAGTAGGACTTAAGGAGTCTCTATCTTAGAAGTTGGTCCTTTCTTTGATAAGATACAAGTGAAAGCAAGGCAGCAGTTTATATGAGGATAGCTTTCAATGAGGGGATTTCAGATTATGGAAAGATGCAGGATTCTGCACCCCAAAACAGTTTAGTTTAATGTCTGTTAAAAACTGTAAGATCTGTTTTCCCTTCTGCTTTTTGCATTCAATATGTAGAGATTCTGCATTTGGAAACTAATGTTCATTACTTTCAGATAAAACTGTACAAATACAGAAATGTCCTTTTGGTGAAATTCAGATTTAAGCATGTAATACAACCTAGTTTTCAAAGGTATTCTAATGTCTCTTTGTTTATAAATCAGTTTCATATAGTTATGGTGGAGAAACCTGTGGTTTTATAACAGGTTCTTCTGTTATAATTTTATCATATGAACAGCAGCAGGGTTGTGGCCCCAAAGGGACAGGAGGTGGTGTTTAATCTTGAGTTTCCTGTTGTGGGAAGGATATGAGCTGGAGGAGGCTTCTGGATTCTGTTGACCTGACTGTACAGCCAGTCTAGCTTTAATAACTGATTGCTCAATGGAGTGATGAAGCCCTAGGAAGATTCTGTAATCTGGGGTAAAGGGAACTTTTGAGGCTTCTCCTGTAAGAAGGATCACAGGAGACTTGTGTGTGTGATTTGTATGAGGCTTTCATGGAAGTTTAAAGACTATTCCACCAGGGCATGCTCTTGTATTCTTTGTTTTTGTGTGTTTGGCAGGAGGGAGGGGTGTTCTTCATTTTTGTTGAGGGGTTTATAATTTTGTTTTTAATAGAGTGCATGCACATTAGAGTTCATAATGTCAATAAAAATGGGCACTGATTAAAACAAAACAGAAAAGCAGGGGTTTAAAACTGATGTTAATCTTGTCTTGTAGTTTAGCTATTTGAGAAGAAAGGTTTGGTTTTCATGGGAAACTGTAATTTGGTTGGTTGCTTCCCTCCCCCACAAGGCAGTATTTTATCCACACTTATGAAAATGATGGAACCTGACATGCATTCATTCAGACTAGATATTTTTTAATTTCTGACTCAAAATCATGACTGACATTTCTAGCTTACCCATTTTTAATTTGGGTTGACAGTCTAAAAATGTTATATTACATTTTTGTTAACTCCAGTGTGCTGGATGTGTAACAAAGTATCTGTAGTGTTTTCCATTTAAATGGTTTGTAAAAAAAATATATTTCATTGTTTAATATGCTAAATTTATTTTTTTATTGTCATTTCATTATTGTCATCAAGGTTTTAGAAGCAGTAATATTAGATTCTTTTACTTAGTTCCTGTACATAAATTTCAAGTGGAAAATAAACTTTACTTCTCCTCCAGCTCCTAATCGCTTTCTTGGCCATAAACAAATTGGTTATAGCCTGAACTGAAGGAGCAACCTTGAATGAAGGAAATAAATTCTGTAGAAGTATACTTTTAAATCTCTCCGAAGTCTTAACGGTCTGCTTTTCTTTAGCCACATGGGGAGAGCAGATTGCCGGTAACTACACCTGGCAGGGAAGAAAAGCTAAAAAAGAACGAGAGCATCTGTTGCAGAAAACGCGTTACTGGGAAGTAGAGATCTAAACCGTTTCATTTTCATGTGGTGGTGATTTGGAAGAGGACAGAATCCAGTGTGCTGATGGTTGCAGTCCTCGTGTGATTTGGTCGGGCCACTGGCAATTTTTACAGTGTTTTCAGAAACAGTATTTCTACATTAAATTTATTTCCTTTGAGGAAATAAAGTAGTATGTGTGTTGTTTTTTTTTCCCATCAAATTGATGGGAGGGTTGTATTGGGTTACTTGCAGTGTCATACATCTGAAGAACATATGTCATTCCGGGTGAGCGGGGAGGGCAGGAAGTTTGGCAGAATTAAATGGTGGAGTCATTTTACGGAGTAAAACATTAACAAGATTTTGTTGTTGTTGTTGTTTTTGGTATTTTTTTCTCTTCCAACATTAGCAAGAAGGCTCACTGTGTGCTCAGCACTGTCTGAATAACTTGCTACAAGGGGAATATTTTAGTCCTGTTGAGTTATCCTCTATTGCACAGCAGTTGGATGAGGAAGAAAGAATGAGAATGGCAGAGGGAGGAGTGTCTAGTGAAGAATATAGAACATTTTTACAGGTAAAATAATCTTAATTTGAGGTTGCTTGATACTTGACTGAAATCTAATGTCGTGTAGCACAGACCTGCTATTCTTGAATAGCTAGAGAAGGTTAATTTCCTAGTGCTAAAACAACTTATATTTGTAGGCCTTTTCATTTATGCATCTTAAATTTGGCATTTTCTGATGTTACTAATACGGCTTTACAATAATTCTACAAAAAGCTATGTTAATCTTACAGGTAGGAAGTCGGGCATGGTGAGGAGGAGGGGATGATCATTGTCAATTTGCCTTTTGTTTTTGTAAGCCAGTGGCAGAGATAGGAACAGAAGTTCCCATCCCTGTCTGTCCTTTAAGCACTGAGCATTTCTAACTTCAAGGTTTGCATTTTTAATAAATAAGCTTATTTGGGCATTCTAATCAGCCTTACAGACTAGGACATACTGAGTTACTGCTTTAAGTATATGCAGTTATATTTATTTTAAAAACTGAATTATTTCTGATCTTGAATGCTTACACCATTTTTCCCTTTTCTTCTTCTCAATCTCACACTGAGCAGCAGCCTTCTGTAAATATGGATGATAGTGGATTCTTCTCAATTCAAGTAAGCACAGCTCTATACTGACAGATTTTTTTTATTTATGCACTGTATGTTCTCTCATTTAATTTAAATGGCACCGAGCTTTTTTCATCTAGTTTCCAGTTTATAGGCTTAATGGGATTAAATGCTGGACTTCTAAATCTTCAGGGTATTTTGCATTCAGAGCAATGACTTCCAGTTCTTCAGTTCGTGGGCCCTTAAACACATAGAAGCACGGACTCCCCAACTGTGAAATGATGCCTGCTGGCAATAAGTTTTATTTCTAAGTTGCTTCTTATGAGCACTTCAGGTGTAGACCTTGGCTCCCATAGACTACAGGTGAAAAAGCAGACTTGAGGTGGTTTTCTCAAGTTATAGACTGTAAAGCCCTTGGCAACGGTTACAGGGTTAGCAGAGTGATGTGCAGCATGGAAAAAGCTGCAGTAGCCGCATTCCAGTTTTTATAATGCACATCAGACACTTTAGAGCTGGGTTTTTTCTTTTTACTTTTTTTTTTTCTTTTAAACATAACGGAAAAGTAATTAATAATAAATACTTAAACCAGAACAACAACAAAAAAAGGTATTGAACACTGAATTAGGGCTTGTGTCTATACTAGGGCTGTAGGTAATGCTCTGCACCTTTGGCTGTCTCCCAGGCTTTCAGAAGCGCCTCTCAACGTTCCAAAATCCCTCGAGAGCCTCTCTTCCTTATGGCAGGACAGGGCTGTTCTTCTATTCAGTGAGAAACAGTTAACGGCTTGGCATTCCTTGTATTCCTGATTGTGCTGCTTCAATATTGAAGCTGAAAAAAAAAAAAAAAAGCTTCCTCATATTCTAATTTTTTTTTCCTGTCATTGCTTTGCTCACTTGCTACATAGTTGGCTCACTGAAAGGAAGATGAATTGTTAATTTAAAATTTCCTACAGCGTTATTTCAGATAACTTTAAAGAGTTATTGGAACAGAGTTGATGCTAATGTACCTGACTGATCCTGTGACAATCCAGTGGTGCAACAGTTCCAGTAGTTACTGTGGGGAAGGGTGATACTGTATCGCGGGGGGAGGGTAGAGCAGTGCATTGGGAGCAGAGATGACAATTTATGAAGTGTCTGTGGGAGGTGAAGTTACAGCTTTGTCTGGGGGAGTAAGCTTATTAACACATTTCAGTTAAATCCCAGTTTTGTTACTTCCCCTTAGATATGCAATGCGTGTTATGTTTGCATGTAGATTCATAACAATTGCATTTTGAATAATGTGATTACTAGGTCTCCTAGCAATGTTTTGAAAATTAAGTTTTATGAAAACGGTATAATTGTTTATCGCAGCTAAGATGGTTGCATTGCTTAAATTTAGATTTGACTGGTTTGACTCATGAAAAGTGCTATTTTTTGACAGGTAATAAGCAATGCCTTGAAAGTTTGGGGTTTAGAACTAATCCTCTTCAACAGCCCAGAGTATCAGAGGCTTGGGATCGACCCTATGTAAGACGTTTTCTTCGTAGCACCCTGCTTTCATTTTACAGAAAAATAATACTCTTAATCTGTGATGTAAATCTTTCTCTAAAATTACTATTTCAAGCTATGTTGCATTCTGATGTTTTTATTATCCCCTCTGTCTTTACTTTTCTTCTGTTGGGGGGTGTATATGAGCAATTGTCCTCTGTGCCTTCATGATATCTCAGTATCTGTGTCATCACAGGTATGTGGAGATTTCAGTAATGTTGACAACTTGCTAGATGTTATACAAGCAATATGAATACTCTAACATCAACAGTTGTATTACTGAATTTTTATTCTATAAGGTTAAATTAGTGGTAGCAAAGAACTTAAACATTAATATGCGCTCCGATATCAGAGTATTTAATTTTATCTATACCTTTTGTTTTTCTTTTTACAGAAATGAAAAATCATTTATTTGTAATTATAAGGAACACTGGTTTACAGTTCGAAAGTTAGGAAAACAGGTGACATTGTCTTTTTTTTTATTTAAAAATTGACTTCAGAATGGGGGTGGCAGAGTGGTTGTGAGTAGACCATGTGTTGGCCTTTTGCAAGATTTTGCTGCAGTTTGCTTTAATAAAATCCCATAGTTTTTTTTAAAAAAAAAAAAAAACAACAAAAAAAAAACCAACCAAACAAACCAAAAACAACCAACTACTGAATGTTTGTCATATTAACAAAAATGCCAGGCAGCTTTTTATGAATGTTAGCCCAGGGAAAGACCCTAGGATCAATTCCCCAGTGAACCAGTCCTCTAGGGAGCTGAAGCTCTGGTAGAGCCTGTGTGACGTCTTAAGCTCTTTTATTTATTTTCTGCATGAAAAATAGCAGAAAAATTGTGTCAGGGACTTCGGGAGTGGGGGTTGGGGAGGAGTCCTCGAGGAGGATTAGGATCCCTATAGAATGCAAATTTATTTTAATGCAATAAATTATTGACATTGTAAAAATAGTTTTACTTATTTAAATGGACAATAGGTATAAAAAGAAGTTCAAATTTCAAAGGTATTAATATTTATGATTGCTAGTATTTTAAGAGTATCCATCAGGATAAGGTTGGAGAATCACAACTTTTGTACTATTTTAGAAGACTTTCTGAAACAGTTGTATTATAAGCAGGAATTAGTTCTTAAAGATAAGGGATGGGCATAGAAGAATTCAAGTCGCATCTGTGTTTCTTGTAACACCTTTGCAGTGTTTTATTTCAGTAGCCAATTACTTTTCTGGATCATACTGCATAAGCTTTTATATAACATAAGCTGGTTTGATTGGGTTTTTTTCAGCTTTTTTTTTGTTATAGAAAATTTTCATTAAATAAGCTTTTAGATTCCACAGTAGCAGACAGGAGTCTCTTTACCCATTTGGTTCATTTTGCAAATGGTGGTTACCTATGTTGTCATCCAGATTAAAAAAAAAAAAAAATAAATTTTACCTGTGAGTTGACATGTGAGTAAGCAAACTAAACTCTACTGTTCTGCTTTAGTGTAAAAGTATGGCTAATATTTACAGGCAGTGTTTGTATATTTAATACCAAAAAGGCTGAATGGTCTCTTAAAAATACAGTAATGTTCCATATTATATATACAGACATGTTGGGTCGACTTTTGAGATGGCATTTTAGCCCAAAATGTTCAAAGTTGGAAGGGGGATGTCTTTTGCTTGTACATGTGGCTTTTAACCACATAACAGACACCTAGTATTGTCTTTATCTACAGAGTAGTGAGAAAAGATAGACAAAATAGGTTGACTTAGAATTGACCTGCTTCTCTTCTATTACAGTTAAAGGAAAATTAATTTACCAAACCTTCTTATTCCATATTCCCTTTTAAAAGTTTGTCTGTAATCTGTCTATCCTATTTGTTTACATAACTTTTTATTCCCCACTCCTACACTGTAGGTCATCTTATCCTTTCCTAGTGGCAAAGGGTGTTCTTGACAGATTAAGTGACTGAATGACAGAATGGTAGATAATCACCTGTATTCCAGGTGAATTATCTAATGGGCCTGACTGCAAGTGTATGACTGCATATATGGAAGTTTTGGTAGATGAATGCATTTTTGTGAGAAAGGACATAGAAATCTCCTTCTACTATATGAAATGGTGCTTCCTGGTTAAAGGTGGATAATATTGAATGAGTATGGTATAAAAAAGGTTCTTCAGGTTGATTGCAATATATATGAGGTTTTAAAGGTAGAATATTGTGTTGTTGAATATATTTTCTCTCTAGAAGAAGTATCATAAATGACTAGTTGTCTTCAGGGGACTAGAAGTGATCTGTGTCTGTTTATCTGAAGTGTCCCCTATTGCAGAATTATGCTGTACTAGCAGCATATTGAATTTGCATTCATTTTCTTAATTTTTAAACCTAAAAATTATCTCAGAGAGAGGTAAACAATAGTTTTCAGCATCACTAGCTATTAAAGACAGAATGTTTGATTAAAGTATTTAGTGGAAAAAACTCCAGTTCTGTTTCCTGTATCTGTTAATTTCTTAAGAAACAGCATTAACTTTTGAAGTGTTTCTTCCTTCATTAGTGTCTGAACAGATTTAAAACTAGGACTAAGCAGAATTTTTAGAATGATGTCTGAAATAATTCTAGCATTACATTTTGATATATCTGTTTTAATCTGTTTGCCTGGTACCAGTGTTGAGTAATGGGAGAGAGCATGCAGTAATTTCCCCACTTCAGGTCTCCTGCTAGCTGAAGAGTATTTGAAGGGTAACCTTTAGCAGTGTAGGTATTGTGCTTCAAAAGACTTTTAATTTGATAATTTATTTTATTAGATTTATTTGGATATTCCATCATAGAAAATTACCACAATGTACAGAAATGGGTTACCAAGTAATCTTTATGCTAATTTGTTCTCTCAAACCTTTTTTTTCTTAATTACAGTGGTTTAACTTGAACTCTCTCTTGATGGGTCCAGAACTAATATCAGATACATATCTTGCACTTTTCTTGGCTCAATTACAACAGGAAGGTAATAGTAACTTGCAGATGTTAAATCTCATTAATTAAAAGTAGGTAATAATCATTATTTATTAGAACTTATGTATTCAGTTAACTACCCTTAGTTTTATGATTGAAATAGTGAAATAACCCAAGTCCTTATAATGAAAGGTAGAGCCTTACATTGTAATAAATTGCACATCATTGTGTTCCATACAGTGTGCGTTTTAGAGTGTTTATGCGTGCACCTTAATGCTGTAGACTTACAATTTGTTTTTCTCAGGTTATTCCATATTTGTAGTAAAAGGTGACCTGCCAGACTGTGAGGCTGATCAGCTATTGCAGATGATTCGGGTACAGCAGATACAGCGACCAAAACTAATTGGAGAAGAGACTGCACAATCGAGAGATCAGAGGTAAGGTAAATAAAGATTTCATTCTAATAATGTTCAGTATGATTGGTTTTCATGATCAATGCCTACATGGAGACAACCCCCTTAAGAAGTAATTAGAAGTATCTTTAGTGCAATACACTCACTACTGTTGCACACAGTAAAAGCAAGTTGGTAGAATACAAATGGTGTATTTTTAAGTAGGCAAAATCTACCTTAATAAACATTCAATCTTTCCATGTGTGTAACTGTTGTATAGTGCAGATTTTTAACTTCATGATTACAATATTTTTTGAATTAGAGTAAAACGGGTTAGTAAATCTCACCAAACTATGGTTGATGGTAATCAAGCTATAATTAAGACTGTCTCCTGCATTCTGTCATAATTAGAAAAGAATGAGAAACCCATATCTGAATTCCACATCAAATAAATCATACAGCATTCTCTTTTGGAATAATTTCACTGTAAATTTTGTAGTGCTGTTCTGTTGAGGCATACTGCTAATATAAAACATTCTTGAAAGCATATAAAGTACCCCTACAATAATTTTATCACATTTTCATAGTGAATAATTTGCGTACTGATAAAAAGGCTTAAGGCTTTTCAGAGGAAATAATTCATTATTATTTCTTCCACTTTGTAAAGGTATACTGGTATTGTAAATTGATGGAATAAAAACAAACTACTTGGCAGTAACATGGAAACTGTGTATTGTTTACAGAGGATCTGTTGCTCTAGTGTGGTCATCAAAGCTTCCTGAAAAAAGAGACCACATGCACTATTTTCTGCTGGTGTAACTGTTTAAATAGCAATGGGCTTGAATAACGTGTATTACTGCTTTTTGTATGCTCACCATTTTTTAAGTTTTTCCTATGGAACAGATTCTTGTCAACATGTGCATGGGTTTAGAGTTGCTGTATTTTCATTTTTACAGCTGTAAGCTCTGCTTGGAGCCCACTTGTGCTTTTTAATGTAGAAGTGAAAGTATTTGTTAATATAACATATTTTTCACAGTAGAAATGTTTTCTTCCAAAGTTAAAAGAAGTTAAACCAGCAGAAAATATTTACTTTAAATCTCACAGTAAAAAGTAAATGCTGTTGCAGTCTGAATTCTGCCATAAATGTGTCAATTTCACAGACTATCCAGAAGTGATGTGGACCAAGCAATAGACGTTAACCATCCTTTTGATGGAACAGGCATGTTAGATGAAGATGAAGAGAATTTTCAGAGAGCCCTGGCTCTAAGTAGGCAGGAAATTGATATGGAAGATGAAGAAGCTGATCTTCGCAGAGCCATTCAACTCAGCATGCAAGGTGCAGCGCTCATCTAAATTTCTCTTACGGTGTTAATGTTGCTTATGCTTCTAGGCTGAAATCTGTTTGTCAGCCACGTTTTCCAGCATGTGTCAGGCTTGCTGAAAAGACTGGCTTCGACGCATAGAAGGACAATCCAGAATTTCCTGCAGCAATTTCCTTTCTGCTTTTTGAAAAGTTGTAACTGTCATGTTAGCATTGATCATTAGCAAGCAAGAACAAATTGACAAAGGGTGGCAGGAGGGAAGGGAAACTGTCCTAAGATAAGGAGGAGAGGTAGTATCCAGTGAAGTTAGCCTAGGTGTTTATTTCTCCCAACAAGTCTCTCTCTTCCTCTCAAGTTTGAAGACAGTTTCTTAAGCTATATTTAATTTACTAACTTCATTTCACTGTAATTAGTAGGATATGGCATGTTCTGGTTTTAGGTAGTCGTCGAAGTGAGTTCTCGGACTCATTACCACAGAATGTTCCTCAGTCGCCTCACACCAGCCAAACAGACTCCCTTTCTTCAGAAGAGCTGCGGAGGAGAAGACAAGCATATTTTGAAAAGTAAAGTAGTTGCTAGAAAACTGCATGTAGAAGTACATGTCATATTTTTCAGTGCTTTTGGGGCATGAATGGTTTTCTGACTGAGGTCCAGCTCACGTTTTCCTAATAGTACCTGAATTTTGCTATTCCCAGGTGGCTCCCAAAAAGAAAACAAGCCTGTAAATAAGAGAGAATCTGTTAGTAATGCAACATCAGTCTTGCGAAGAAAGAAAACATACATGTGTTAAAGTATTTTAAATTAAATCCTGTAAATTTCTGTAATTGTCATCCTGACGAAAAGTATTGTTTTACTAAGACTTTGCTTCTGGTAATGGTGCCCCTGATGTGTATCACATGAAAGCATTCTAGATAATACTTCATGTTGCTGTTTTGGAGTACCTTCTTAATACATTGTTGGGGTATTGTGGCTTTTTCTTATCTCTGTCTCCTAGTGATAGAGGAAATAAAGACCAGGGAAAATTGATAGGGATGGCAGGAGTTAGACTTCACATGAGAGGATAAGAATGCAGACCATTGGAATTCTGCAAAAATAGTAATGTGGCTTGGGCTATAATGTTGGGAAGACAGGTGTCTGAACATTAGCAGGGTGAAATGATTGAGATTTTAGGTGCAGGGGTGTTATTGTACCAAACAGCTACTTCTCGCTCTTGTCCTTCCTTACAATTAAATAGACTTGATACAGGTATCATACGGATGTTGGTATTATTCTCTTACAAATTTGTAACACTTTCAGGCAGCAACAACAGCTACAGCAGCAAGATCGGACCCCGAACCTACGTGATAAGCCAACTCTAAGCTCAAGCACTCCAGAAGCTGACCCAGGTATTTTTTTACGCTTACTTCCAACACTGAAATATTTATTTCTCTCACCTTTGTGTTGTGCTCTGTTTCCTAACTTGCTTTATCTGCATACTTCCTCACTCCAGCAGCCGTTCAGATTATGTATCACAGGCATTACTCTCTTTGGCAGGGAAGGAAAGGATGACTTTAAAAGCTTGTTCTACTTTGAATGTCAATATCCTGTTTCAAATTGAACAGCGTTACTATTAGACCATTTGAGTTCTGGTTTTTGCTTTTTGTTGTTTTGTTTGGCTTGAGCATTACAAATTGTAATCTTTGGGATTTGTACGAACAACTTATTTTCTATATTACTTACAAAGTTGTATGACAATGTAATAGAGTAATAGCTGATAAAATAACTGCATCCAGTTTTCAGTAGAACATAAGTATGTAGGCCTTACCAGGATTAGGTATTGCTGATCCAAAATTAATGTGCGTTACTTGTTGCAAACTGACTGTTGTGGATGGAAAGCTAAACGCAAAATGTTCAATGATTTAAAAAACAAAACAAAAAAATTTTAGGGATAGGGTGAAAGCAGGTGGGGGTGGACAAAAGGAACATCAGAAGCATTTAACTACAGTTGAGAACTAGCTCTGTGTATTTATTACAACTTTTATGCATTTATTTTCTGTAGGAGGTGATATGAGTGAAGAAGACATGCTTCAAGCAGCTATGAATATGTCTCTCGAATCTGTTAGAAACCACTTGAATACAGAGGAGGAGAAATGACAACTTTTTTTTTTCCCCCCTCTTATTGCTAAAACACTACGTCTCCATTATAATTTTACAGTGTGGATGTTGCACAAACAGGGTTCATTTCAGAGTTCTGGAAGCAGGAATGGAAGGGGGGGTCTAGAGGTCAGGGTTTAGAGGGAATCTGCAAATACAAAAAAAGATTGCACTAATTTAGAGAACTACTAGAGAACATCTGTTCATAGAAGTAGCTGTATTAAAATTTACTTAAACTATTCACATGAACAAAGTTAGACACATGTAGCACCTGTAACTTGCAATTAAAAAGCAAGTTTAAATTCTTTTGAAGAATTCTGTAGAAAATACTAAAGGTGCTGAAAACCAGCATCAACTGATTTCCTTCAGTACTAATGGAAAAAGAAACAAGTAATAAGTTGTGCTTCTTTATAAGAAATCACTTAAAATCGGAAAAATAATTCTATCTTAGATAATTTATTTTGTGATTGTTTATTTTGAATGACTTAATGTCAACTTTTTGATCCTGCTGTCCACTTTTGAAATCACTCATTCTGCAGGAGAAACATGAATCCATAAATTTCATACTTTGCAATTCAAGAGAAACCCTTCAGTGTATTGTTGATTCCATTACTCCTGAATCTTTCAGTGACTTCTGAACTTCTAACACTTTCTGGTTTTACTTTGTTTCAACTGTAAAGTTTTCAGATCCAAGTTTAAAGTTAGGATTTTTGCATTGCCCTGTTGTCTTTTGGCAGATAACTTGCTGCCTTTGGTTTGGTTTTTTTTTTTGGTTTTGTTCTCTTATACTCTTTTATTAGTCATTACTATAAAAGTAGCATATAATCAGTTGGGTTAAACAGGTTTTCTTTTCTACCTCTTCTGGAGTCTTTTTCCTTCTTCAAGCTCAACCCTTCATTCTGGCCTTTCACTATGAAAGAGCTGTAACTGAGTCTAGGAGAAAGGAGGAGGGGATTTAGGTGCCATAAAGTCAGTGCCACACACATAAGGTGCATTCCTGCAGTCTGAAATGACCCCTGTGCAAGTAGCTCTTTTAAGAATGAATATTTATGTCTGTGTGGATGTTCTTTCTGAAGTGCTTTTTATGAGTGTCTGTCAGAATGTCGCAGCTTTGTCAGGAATGGCCTTTATTCACGCACCTTACAATTTTTTATCATGCTGTTTCTGATCCTGAGAAGAATTGGGGAGCAAGGTATGTGAGATGTCTTACAACCAATAGCATAAGCTATTTGCTTTGATATCCAGGATGAATGTGTAACAGGGTGACCAAGCTTGACTTACAACTTCAGTGCAACAATTGATATGTTTAATTTTCCTAAATGGTGCTTGAAATACAAATTCTGTTTACATATAAATTATATGGAAACATGCTGTAGATAGGGTACGTAAGCTGTAGTCCAGTTAATGCATTAACAGTTAGCACAGGCATTCTAAGAATCTTTTGAAGATAACCCCAAATTTCTTTATCCCAATATTCTAAGTTATATCATTGCACAATAGTTACATTTAATTAAAATTAGTATGAAATGAATGGTGGCTAGATGGAAATACACATTCAGCATCAAATCGTACTGTACATGAAAGGGCTCTTACCTCTCAGTAAAGATTTGTTTACAGCAATGTTTTTTTGATAGTTTAGTATATTATTACATTATCCATATTTGGGCAAAATTCTGGTTTCCTTACCTGTGTGCTGAACTCCCACCAGTGTTAACAGAACTACTGGTATATATAAGACAGTATGGATTTTGAGATGAGACAGCGCTACTTTTAAAAAACTTGATTTTAATTCTTTTGTTTGTTTGTGTTTTTTTTTTTTTTTTTAATAATCCTGTCATGCACATTAATTATAATGTTTGTAATGTCTCTAATACAGCTAAACAATGGCTTAAAAAGTCCATGTGTGCATATGCCATTTTGAAATGCTATATTTTTCAGGATATAAATTTCTGCTTTCAGTTTAAAATTTATATGAAACTGAAAACAGGAAAGGAATCTCTAAAGCACTGAATTATTTCTTTGCTCATCCGTAAATTATCCACAGCTTTAATTTCCCTTCTTTTGTTGTGCCATAAACTGATTCTGAAATAAGATTCTCATTTTTATAAATAGGTATAGGCTGACAATATGATACCAGTACTTGGAACCTTGGACCTTTTATCATTTATTATGAGAATATAATAAAAATGTATTATTTCTGTAGCTTTATAGTGTAGCAGCCCTATGTTAAAAAAAAAAAATATAGCCTCTTGAATTGCATTAACTGTAACCCATGACAATTACATGGATTTTTAATCACTAAAGCATGGAGGTTTGCATTTGAACTTTCATGTCACTTTGTCAGTTACTTCATCACTCATGTGTTTTAATATGTAAGGAATATAAAGTAACAGTGCCTGAAAAGCACAACTGTGTCAGTTATTACAGGGCTAACCATATTCCTTTCTGTGTAGAAACTGTCACTACAAATACCAATTCAATTCTTCAGAGGTATGTCGAGTTTAATGAAGTAGGCGTTTCTGCCTTAGTCAAGCAGTTAAGAGGTAGCAATTTAAGCTACGTATGTTAATTGCACCAAAGGAAGAGACTAAGACTCATAGTACGTATTTTATAACCCAGACCTAAAGTTCAAAATATGTGGACCTGACAAAGAGCTGTCATTAAAATGCCAATCTCGTTTTTTGGTGTGCATTCTTCCAGTGATAAACAGTTCTCAATGTGTCTGAACTATGCTCAGAAGGCATTTTCTAATTTAGAGCCTGTTCCTGCTGTTATCTATTCTGTCAAGCTGATGGGGTTTTTTTCCCATGTTGTAGCTCTAGGCCAAAGTCCAATGTAAAGGAGCAGAAATGGATTTTTTTTTTTTTTTTTATTACAGTATGATATTTGAGAGAATTCCAGGCTTTATTCATCCAACAGATTTTTATAGTCTTCCTCACAGTGAACAGTCCATGTGATGTAACTTGTGTTTTTCTGCCTATAGAAATCAAAGGGGTAGGGGGAATGAGGGATACTTACATTAAATATCTTCCAAAATTAGTTCTGTAAGTATAATTCTGTAAACTGCTTTCACGGTCTTGTAATGAGGGCAGGAAGAAAGCGTTGTAATGCAGTCATGCTTGCATGCAATTCATGTTAGGCACAGCAGATATAACTTATTTAAATGTTCATGTTTTTCTGGGCTTGAAACTAATCTGATACAATACTGGCTTACTCTCCTAAATTTGTGCTCCTTGTGGCCTTCAAACAACTTCCAAGTTTAAATGTAACTTTCAGCTAAGGTACTCTTACTATTTTTCATACTTAATTACTTTTCAGACTACTTAAAAAAAATAAATAAGATACAAAGTTAAATCTCCAATGTGTTTTAATGTTGGACTACTGCTTCTGTTACAAATCTGTAAAATGGCTTCTGCACATGTCTAGTAAACAATTCTATTTCTATATCTCAGACAAATACTGTAATTTGCAAGCTGCTTTATTACAAAAATGACAATTAGGCTTTTAAAAATGAACAAGAACATGTTACAGTTCTAAAATGTGAATTTTTCTAAAATTTAGTATTGCTTCAAATAATGATAAAAATGTACAAATGGTGGCCTTTTTACTGAGAAATATGGGGAATGGGACTGGAGAACTCTAGAACTCAGGCTTACAAGGAAGTATTATCGTGCAATTCATGTTACTAGCGCATAATTTAAAAGGAATCAAAAAAAGAATCCAAGGAAAAGAAAAATTGAAGCGGAAATATTTTTTTAAGGGCTTAGATATAAAATTATGTTGCTCATTTGGTAAGCCATTACTGTCATGCATAAAACAAACGTAACGCCTGGGAAATCTTCATAGTTACTCACAAATCTTTTTTAAAAAAAGAAAAAAAGTCTCAACAGATAATACGTATGTACCCATTCCCCACGTAAACATAATCAGTTGTTCAAGTAAGAACAATACGTGATACATTCGAACTGGCCTGGTCCAAATACTCCATTCTTCAGTTTCAAATCACTAGCTTTGTGTTGTATCCAGGTTTGCATCTTAAAAGCATGAGCTGTTTTGCAATAAATGTTTTTTTAACCTGCATACACACATTTTGCCTTATTTGCATTTCGGATATGGAGTGAATGCTTTAGTATTTAACCTGCCATATTCACCTCCTTCCCCAATTACAGTTCTTCAGAATGTTAAAGTACATGTGACTTTTCAACTGCTTTTACCAATGAAAATGTTTTTATCTTCTTTGTTAAGAAAAGCAAATAATTGTTACTACACTTGCGTTATTTTTTTTGATCTCTGCCCACAGTATAGCCACTGTGTGAATTCAGGAGGGGAAATTTATAGGGGATTTGGAACAGAAAGAGATATAATATTTAAATGCCACTGTGCAAAAAAAAAAAAAAAGGGAAAACCTTGGTACTGTCATTAAAGCATGCAAGCATTGATAAAATTTTATTTTTTGCTACATGAAATCTCGTGTACAAAACATTGTAAAGTTGGAATTTTGTAAGGGAGTATTTTTTTTTTTTCATCTCTTGCCTAATAGTTGCGTATTTTAGAAATAATCTTCAGTAATAGATTTTTTTTTTTGTCATGAGACTGCTTTCAGTATCATGTCTTTGGCTTTGGATTCCTATACAATTTTTGTCTATTTTGTGTATATAAAGAGATAATATTGAAAAGATTAAAAAAGGAAAGCTGAAATGCTTTTGTTTTGACTGGAAAATGGCAGTGCTGTTTGATATTTTGAAAATGCTCTCCAAATATATATGGTTGTATTTGATATCACTTTTTTAAATAAATAAGATTATAGCTTCCAATGTTTCTCTCTTGACCCGAGTGTTTGCATATGTGCTTTCCCTTTTATGTGGATTTGGCACAGAGTCATCAAACATGAAGAGCTTCTCTTTGTTATCAGTGGGCTTTGCAACCGATACTGTGAATGTACAGTACCAGTGAGGTAATCTTCTGTTGCGCATAACTGACATTTAGTCATCTCTGAGGTCTTTTCATCTGTTGATACTCCAAAATTTGTGTAAAGACACTCCCATTAGGAAGAAGGTCGGTGCTGATTGTTGTTATGCTACGTCTTTTAAAATTGCATGCTTTCTAATTTTAAAATAAGATATTGTTTCCTATTTTGCTACCAGACTACACATTTTTTTGTGACATAATGTACTGTTTTTATATCTTAGTCAATCCACAGGAGTATATTGGATGATTTCTGTGCATTTTATCAACAGTAGATGACACCAGTCAGCTAAAAACTGGTTTGCAATGTTAAATAGTCAGTTTCTAGTTTTTCAAGAATAGTAATTAAAAAAAGTGGGGGGGAAAAGCCCTCTGTGCTATTTCATTGGCTTCTTGACTGACTTGGCATTATAAAATGAACCATACTAGGAGACATTTTTATCTCTAAATTTTTTTAAAAGTCTGGAGGACATCCCTGGTCTTATTTTAAAAAAATGTTAAGACAGTTTCCCATAAAAAGTATCCATCTTTTATCTCAAGTGGACTCATACGGTTTTTGTTAAACAATGGTATAGGGTGTTTTGAGCATTGTAAACTTTTCATCTCCATTAAACCCAATGTTTTAAATTATTAAGATACATTTATGTTTCATGCTACATCACAGCACTAATACTTCCTACAATTCTGGTGGGAGTTTGGGGAGTTTTTTCGAGCTAGAAATGGATTTGATATTGTATGATAATTTTTACTTTGGCTAATTGTAAGAGTAGTAAATATACCATCAAATTTAAAATTTGGTAATGTATAAACCTGATCGAAAAATTTTTCACTGAAGAAGAGGGGAAAAAAAAAAATCAATCTTTTATTAGAAAACTGTCAAATCAGACCCTTATTTTGGTTAGTTTTAAGTTTGGAATTCCTGGGCCCTGTACTGTAGCCAGCCTGAGCTGGCTCTGCGCCGCAGCGGGCAGTGGAGAGCCGAGGCGGCACTGTGGACCAGCTGCGTGCCCCTCGCCGGGGCTCTGCGGGACCCCATCAGGGGAGCAACAGGCAGGTTTGTCCATCACCTTCGCGTAGTGCTTGTCAGCCTGTAGCTCCAGAGCATGCGTTCTGTGCCCGCTGCGTTCTCAGCTCCTCTAAAAACAGTAAGATTTCACCTGTGAAACGCTCAACCTCATTTTACCGGTCCTGGGGTGCTTTAATCTTTTCATGTAGGTTACTAATTTGAAACTATCCATGAGCTAGCTCCCCTGTGTTTTATTTCCAAGATTGGCAGTAAATCAGTATTGTTCTATTTTAATACTGCCTTTTCTGTCCTTCCTATGATCAAAACCGAACTGAACTCTGAACCACACCAGGGCTGGGGTGGTGGCTGGGACAGCACCCCCCGCCTCTGTCCCCAAAGCAGGAGGGGCCTGGCATTTCAGGAGCCAGACATTTTGCAAATACAAAACGTCCCTTTTCTAGTAGCAGTCGGCTGCTGTGTTTTGTTAATGACACACGACCCAAGGATGTGTACGTAATGAGGGCCGGGCCCATGTTAATCCCAGGGCTCCGCCACTATCCCGGCATCCCCCGCTGCCGCGTACACGTCACAGACGCCGCGGGGGCGCTCTAGCCGTCGGCGGCCAATGTTGATGGTGTTTCGGGAGGGGGTGTCATGGCGACCGTCGAGGTGGCAGCGGCTGGAGCCGCCGGGAGGAGCCGCTGAGCCGCGTCGTGCCGGGGGGGTGGGGATGTGCGCGGCGCCGGCGGAGGGGTCGCCGAGACCGGTCTGCTGAGCCCTCGGCAGGAGCTTCGGCCCTCCCTGGCGAGGAGGAGCGCGGCCGCGGGAGCCGGCTGCCCGCTGCGGGGGCCGGGGGAGGCCCCGGGGCCCTCTGAGAGGCGGCCATGGCGTCGTGGTTGGGCGGGCTGGGCTCGGGGCTGGGTCAGTCCCTGGGGCAGGTGGGGGGCAGCCTGTCCTCGCTCACCGGCCAGATCTCCAGCTTCACCAAGGACATCCTGCTGGAGGGCGCGGAGGAAGTGGGCGGTAAGTGGGGCTGAGGCGGGGGGGGGCGAGGCTCGTGCCTGCCTGCCGGGAGGGGTCGGGGGTCGGAGGGAGCCCTTCCTCCCGCCGCCGCTTCCCTCGGGGGTCGGGGGCGGCGGGGCCCCCGCTGCCCGCACCGGCCGGCCGGCCCGGCGCCGCCGCTCCGTGCCTTTCGGGGGAGCTGCTGGCTTTGCAGGCTTGGTTTTCGTTTTTCTTCCGTTCCTGTGACCTCAGGATCTGGAGAATAAGCAAACATATTCCCAGGCTATAGTAGCAGAGGTAAACCAGGTCTAGATTTATTATTCGGAAGTTTCTGAACCGCGTGAAGCGTTGTGTTGATCAGCAACAAACGCATACGAACAACGCTCTTCCATTCTGTTTACTTAGTTTATCTAAACCCCTGTTTGTTTAGCAGCTTTTAGAGTGGTTCCATAAAACTGCATAGTAGTACAGAGGTCCTTGTGCCACTGGTGTGATCTAAATCTGACGTGTCACACAGGCAAAGGTTCAGTGTTTATGATGGTTTTGTTACTTGTATTTCAGTTGGGCCCAGACAAACCTGTCGAGTTCTACCAGTCTCCTGCAGCCAAGTAGGAGGACATGGCCCTTGTTTTATAGGGGTTAGAAGCCAGGATGATTTATATTTAAAACAGCTGAAACAAAAAAGCTAAGACATCAGAGTAAGATAATAAAATAATAGTAAATTTATTCCAGACTACAGTTTTTTCTTTATAATTTTAATAATGCCTTTTTGTTACAAGTTTTTGAGTAAAACTTCTGATTTTTCTAGTAAAGCAGTTGTATAACATGGTAGTAAATATTGATAGGTTAATAGCACTAGTATTGTTTATCATCTTGAAACTATAACTTATTTTTAAAATGAGCATTCTTAAACCAGTGTTAGGAATACCAACCACAAAGAGCAGCTAAGATTTCTGAATACTCAAATGTGAAATTAAACAATTCTACTTTGTAATTTCACAATTATGAAGGATTATGAAAGTATTGTATAAATCTTCTTGCAAGTTTGTACTACTGGTCTTATGGATGGGGGTTTTTGGTATACGGGTAGAATGCTTGGAAGAGAGAAATTTGTTCTGATAACTGCAAAGTTACCTTTTTTTCACTTTTCTGAGAGACTTGCTTAGAATTGTTTTAAATTACAAAAGTCATATATAGTTTAGTTTGGAAACTTATTTTACGCTGATAAATTGTGTAGTCATTGAATGTGTTTGTTTTGCCTTTGTAAAAGAGAAACTGAGATTCTGATTCACACGTTTGTGCAAGAGAGATGTGCTGATGTTCAGTTGTTGCTTCCAGATGTACTTGACTGCTAGATACTGTTGTTAGCAACTTCTGTTTCCTAAAAACTTCAGAGTAATACGTTATTATGGGTTACTAGCCTTGAGGGTGTAAAAATCTAGTGGCATTTAGGTACTCTTCTGTAAAGAGCTTTACTGTATGGCCTAAAGAAAGCTTTTCAGGCAGTTCCTTACATTTTTATTTTAATTTAATAATTTTCTAATGTTTCCTAATTTTTAATATTACCCCTTACATTCACTGCTTTGACAGACATCTGAACTGAAGATGATGTTTGTGGATTATAGACTTTAACATCTTCAGTTTAGCAGTTTTCATTGGTAGATTGTTGCCTTTACAGCACTTGAGTTGCATCAGTTTTAAACAGTACATGGGAAATGATGAAACACAGTATTCACTTAAAACCTATATTTATTTCAAATTTTGAAAACTTGACAAGGTTGCTTTATAGTCAATCAGGATAATTTCGCATTAATAAAAGGAAATGTGGTATTTCTATCCATTAAAAATGGGACATAGGAGAAGTAAACATGGCCTATTTGAGGAATGTTGATCATTAAAGGAAGAGTATCCAGGGACAGAATTATGTCCTTTTTGTATTAGATAAACTGGTATGGTAGACTGTGTCACCTTTGTAAATGAAAGAGAATCTTACGGGGTTTTTGTTCGTTTATGTGGGGGGCAGGGTTGGTGTACTGTTGTGTGGGTTGTTTTGTGGGTGTTACTGGGTGTGTGTGTTTGTTTTTTTTTTTTTTTTTCTCTGAGAATTTAGTCACTGTTGTGTGTATTTTATGGAACTAACTCTGGTTTTGAAACTTCACGTGAAATTACTGAGAAACACACAACTGTCATGTCAAGGGCAAAGTCCTAAATGAACAGATTTGGTGACATGAAGTAGCCAAGTAAAAACTTCTAATTTCCCTTATCTTAAAACTTAAATCCATACTTTCCTGTTAGTTTTGTGATCTGTCATAAAGCCTAAATAAGAGAGAACTAAATTAGGTTCAGAAAGACTCTATGGTCCGAAAAGAAATTCGGACAGTGCTCTGATAAGACCAGTTTTTGACAATTACCTAGGAATTAATGTCAGATACCTATTAATAACTGTGATCTTGACTGGTGTCTATTTAATAGATTAAAAGCAGTTTAATAAAAATGAAATTTTTCACTTTCTTTCAGATGCAGCAACAGAACTCCAGATGTCCAATTCTAGACTCAGAGAAATAGAAAGTATTAATGCAGCACAAAAGTTTGAAGTAAGAATTTTTGGAACACTACTGTAATTAAAAGCAATAAACAACATTTGTTTCTTATAAAGGTGAAATAATGCAGTGAAATTGCTTGTCCTTGGGTGAACCTAGAAACAAGGTTGACAGTGGTAGAATGTGGCTCTCTTTTGGTGACAAAGTGCCATCACAGTTGAGGGGGGCACGTCTGTTTACTGGAGTATGTGTGTGGTACAAGTTTCCGTGTTTTGCTAATTGCTACATCCTTTGACTGTTCTACCTGTCATGTGGACTTGGACTGCAGCAATAGACTTGTCTCTGAAAAGCTTGAAAATTGCAAAAATCCTGTAAGTGTTCATAAATCTTAGATGGTAAAGAGTTAAAATTGATTTTTAGTGTTTCATATATGACCACAAATAAAAGCAGATCTGGAATGCCCTGTCATGCTGGACAACATGTCTTTTGTGTCAAGCTTCAAAGTATAGAGTATGCGTGTTCCCTGATGCAGTTCTCTGCCCGTGTGGCCCTACTGTATGGTCATTTTTATGTAGCTATGGATGCTCGTGCTCTTCCCGAACTGTTTATAAATTCCACGTGTCCTTGTGGAAAGTGACTTTGTGTACTTTTACAAAGGACTTGTTGCTCTTGGGACTTTATGACTTCAAACCAACAACATTCCGTGTAGATCCTCAGCTCTCAAGAGTATTGAGAAGTTAAGATGGTATTTTGGGGAAGTAACTGTTCCTGCTTGTCATTTTTCTAGACTCGTGCCATCTGCAATAGGCCATTGTCAGAGAGAGAATACTGGACTGTGTGGATGTTAGCTCCAGTTTATGCTCTGTGGCTGTTCTTAAATTCCACCTGTGGATCATGCTAAGATGTCGTTCGGCCTTGAATTTTTCTTCTTGGCATTTACCTCTAGTCACCACAAACCTTTTTGTGGAAGTGAGCTAGAGTCTGTGCCATATGAAAATGGGAAGTTTGGACGTGAACATGATTTTGGGCCTACACTTCAAAGTTACTGAGTGGTTTGAGTGAAATAACATGAGAAATCTGTA